CAGTATAGATCAGTTGCAATGCGAGCAGCTTATTTGGCACAAGACCGACCAGATCTGCAAGTAGCAACAAGATCTTTAGCACAAGGGCTACAACGACCAACTACCAGCCACATGCTTATGCTCAAAAGAGTTGCACGATACCTTAGGTATCGACCACGCATGGCACAATTCTTTCCTCATCAGAACAAACTCAGTCCATTTGTGATGTGGTCTGATGCTGACCACGCTGGATGCGTGAAGACGAGGAAGAGCGTGTCAGGAGGCGTCTTGATGGCCGGTGGTTGTTGTATCAAGACTTATTCTAAAGGACAAGGAGTTGTTAGTCTTTCGTCTGGAGAGAGTGAGTATTACGCTCTTGTGAGCGGTGCCAGCAATTTGCTGGGAGAAGTTTCAACCGCCAAAGACTGGGGTTTGCAACCTGAGAGTGAAGTTTTCATGGATGCAAGTGCAGGAATAGCAATGGGTTCACGTAGAGGATTAGGCAAGGCCAAGCACGTGGATACTCAATACCACTGGGTACAAGACCGCGTTGCCAAGCGCTACTTTCGGCTGAAGAAGGTCGACACTGGCGATATGCTTGCCGATGTCTTGACGAAACCCGTCATAGAGGAGAAGATGAACAAGGCACTGCGGAATATGAACTTTCACTTTCTGGAAGGTGAACATCACCTGACACTGAAGGCATAGATGGCTTGAGTCGTGGCTATGCTCCGCTGTACATATCAAAACTCGCCTAGTTCAAAACACTTGGACTCACCGTGCCTCCGAACAGGCTCGGGAGGCGTGATCAGATATGTGTACAGTATAGACCATGTTACATGTAGTACATATGTTTGTATATGTGCTGCAGCCATTTTAGTGCTTTTAGCTACCTTCGAGCTAACCGAGTGAAAAGGTGCTGAACAGTGCTCAGGAGTGTTCATCAGATTTAAGAGCCCAATTTCTCTGTTCATATGGTCTGTCTGGTATGTATGCTTACTATGATGGGTATGGAATGTTTCCCATGTAAAGTAGGCATGGTATGTATGGCATGTATGTTTGCTATTGTATGTATGGTAGGTGATTATGTTTCATATGTATGGTATGTGTGGTATGTATGATAGGTATGATAGGTATGGTATGCATGGCATCATTGGCATGTATGATAGGTACGGTATATGTTAAACACATGTAATGTTGTCAGAGTAATTACACAGGTAATGAATAGGAAGTAGATACATAGCACATATATATATATGACTATAGGTAGCACGTAGGTACTTTGAGGGAGCATGTGTGCTACGTAGGTCGCCTAAAAGGTAGCATGTACCTAGTAAATGCGAGGCTGGTAGTCAGAAATGCTGCAAAGACCTAGCAAATACGAAGCTGGACCTCAGAAATGCTGCCAATAGCTTGCAAATAGAAGGGGGGGGTGCTACCTGGGGACCCAGCACGGTCCCCTCCCCCCGTGTGGTGTAGTGGGGGGGTGGCGTAGTATGTTGGGTATGTATGGTGTGTATGGTCGGTCTGGTATGGCATGTTTGGAAAGTATGGTATGTATGGCATGAATGGTTGGTGTTGTATGGATGGCAGGTATGGTATGTAAGTCTGTTGGGTATGGTATGTTTGATATGACAGTATGTATGGTCTGTATGGTATGTATGCTTACTATGATGGGTATGGAATGTTTCCTATGTAAGGTAGGTATGGTATATATGGCATGTATGTTTGCTATTGTATGTATGGTAGGTGATTATGTTTCATATGTATGGTATGTGTGGTATGTATATAGGTATGATAGGTATTATAGATATGATAGGTATGATAGGTATGATAGGTATGGTATGCATGGCATCATTGGAATGTATGGCAGGCACGGTATATGTTAAACACATGTAGTGTTGTCAGAGCACACAGGTGGTAAATCGGAAGTAGATACATAGCACACACATATATATATGACTATAGGTAGCACGTGGGCACTTTGAGGGAGTATGTGTGCTACGCAGGTCGCCTAAAAGGTAGCATGTACCTAATGTACCTAGTAAATGCGAGGCTGGTAGTCAGAAATGCTGCAAAGACCTAGCAAATACGAAGCTGGACCTCAGAAATGCTGCCAATAGCTTGCAAATAGAAGGGGGGGGTGCTACCTGGGGACCCAACCCATTGGGGGTGGGTGGGTGGAGAGACGGAGGACAGGACCATGTATCTACATTTTTGGGAGGCGAATCTTTGTAAATAACTATAATATTATACATATAGATGTAAATCACCTTCAGCCTAGCTGGACCAGGGGCTAGCCCGGAACTCATTGCACTGTGTCAGAGCGACGACATTTTGATGGCGTATAATATGCATACTGTACCAGTAGTACCGCACAAGGCGGTGGCGGAAGCTTCAAAAATAGGAAACCTATAGGAGAGGCTGGTTGTTGTGAATCACGGATGGCAGAGCGAAGCCACTGATGGACCGAAAGGTGGTTGAGGTCTCTCTCTCTCTCTCTTTCTCTCTCTTTCTCTGACTACCTATCTCTCTAGCTACTTATCTATCTATCTATCTATCTAGCTATCTATCTAGCTATCTATCTAGCTATCTATCTAGCTATCTATCTATCTATCTATCTGTCTATCTGTCTACCTGTCTATCTGTCTACCTGTCTATCCATCTATCTATCTATCTGTCTATCTGTTTACCTGTCTCTCTTTCATCTGTCTATCTGTCTATCTGTCTATCTATCTATCTATCTATCTAATCTTATCTTATCTTACCTTATCTTACCTTACCTTATCTAATCTAATCTGATCTAACCTAATCTAATCTAATCTAATCTTATCTAATCTTATCTAATCTTATCTAATCTAATCTAATCTTATCTATCTATCTATCTATCTATCTATCTATTTATCTATCTATCTATCTATCTATCTCTCCCTTTCATCTGTCTATCTGTCTACCTGTCTATCTGTCTATCTGTCTATCTATCTATCTATCCACCTATCTATCTATCTCTATCTATCTATCTATCTATCTATCTATCTATCTATCTATCTATCTCTATCTATCTATCTATCTATCTAATCTCTATCTCTATCTATCTATCTATCTATATCTATCTATCTATTACCTATCTATCTATCTAATCTGTCTATCTATCTATCTATCCATCCTATCTATCTATCTATCTATCTATCTATCTATCTAATCTAATCTAATCTTATCTAATCTTATCTAATCTTATCTAATCTAATCTAATCTTATCTATCTATCTATCTATCTATCTATCTATTTATCTATCTATCTATCTATCTATC